ATTGACATTCTAGTGAAGTATCCATTCATGGAGAAGGTCAGTTGATGGAGAAATGTCTCCATCTGTTGGCTTAATGCAGCATCAACCAACAACCTGTAAGGCCAGGAAATATCATATGGACGAAAACCCCTTTTATCCATTTTGTTTACTGTACAAGTAAAGAAAGAAAGAAAGAGAGAAAGAAAGATTTATAGTTTTACACTCATTGAATGTGTTTTAATAATGAATAACGAACAGTTCCTGAGATCCTATGGTTCAGATCCCCGCAGTGCCTTTCCTGCACACAATCATTTGTGTCCCCTAAACAATCATCCACATATTACCAATGCAATGTAAACATTTCAAATAATGTTACTAAAAATCATGCTGCATTGCCAATGCAGAATTAAAAGATTTGAATGAGAGTTTATGCTCAATTTCTGAAAAAGGAATTGTCAGTGCTTTGCTTTATTCACAAACTTAGAAAAACCTGGTGAGTTTTGAGATTATGTAATGAAACTGATGATGTCGATGAAAATAAAAATGGTTGCATCACGACCACAGACAACTGATGAACATGTTGTTGTCAATGCATTCAGATAACTTGTGTCATCAGTGTAAAAAAACTCACAGGCATGCATGACGTGTTCTTTGGGTTCTACGTCTTTCTCCTCATTTTAATTAACAGGCTTCAGCTTGTCCTGAAACAAGGCAACATGTGAGTCTTATTGATTGAACCAAAACAGAGCACATGTCTCCGCCAAGGCCCAAAAGTCCTCTAAAGTTAAATTAAGTTGCACCAAGTTTCACCCACACAAAGATATAAGTTCCCTTTTTTGTCAAGAACCATGAATTAATCTACTGGAAATGAGTGAAACCAACAACACCCTATATCGCGATTTTTATTATAAGATATTACAAAACAAAACATGTTGACATAAATAAATAAATTCACAAAACCAGTAATGACATAAATTGTTTACAAAGTATGTTACGGAGCACCTAAGCCTGGACAGTTAAAAAATTATTTCTTTTACACTTGTGCACACAGGATTTTAAAAATGTTTACACAAAATTTATATCCTGTTTGGACAGAAGAACTTGGACACACAAAAACTTCAAACGAGTCCCTATAAAGACTTCAGATGCTCACAGCAATCATGATGGAGAGAACTAGCAAATCAGGTTTTTCCTCATGAATGTCACACAATGAAATGCTGGCTGCTCTTAAAGCTACAAAAGCCACTTTACCCAGTTGTTTTCAAAGCATCAGTCAATTATGGTGTTACCTTGCAGTTATTAACTTGTTCCAGTGGTAATAACAAGATATTTATGGTCTGCGAAAAAGATTATTATATTGTGAACAATTCAATATCTTGAGTAAAATAGTTTGAAGTTGTGCGTGAACACGTTAATGTCTTGTGCATACAAAATGAAACAATATACCTCGGGCTACTATTGAGTCCCTATAAAGTGTGTGCACAAGATAAAATAATATAACCTGTCTTTATAGGGACTCGTTTGAAGTTTATGCATGCACAAGTTCTTCTGTCCAAACAGGATATTAATTGTGTGTGAACAGGTTAAAATCCTGTGTGCACAAGTTACTGTGCTAGGTTAA